AGAAAGGTAGGTCCCTGACACAGCAGCCTGGTAGGCTAGGACCCAGAGGCTGGACAGTACAGGGACCTAGGATAAAAAATGATATTCTGCTATACTCATAGATTGATCCCTAGCCTATTGTCATCAGAGAGGCTTCTCCCAGCTATTGGTAGAAACAGATGCAGAGACTACAGGTTCCAGAGTCACACCGCACCAAGGTCTAGGACAACTCTGAACGTGGCCGGAGGGGGTGCGGCCGGGGAGGACGAAGATTTGGGGCTGGGCTCTGCCTGGGCAAGCCTGACTTTCAACAGCACCAAATGAATGCTGGAGAGTATCATGTGGGCGGTGGGCGCACAGGCACCGGGACGCTGGATGCAGGATGTAGGGGAGGCTGGAGATAAGGGACGCGCGAGGGGCGGGGCCGATAGTAGTCTAGGCCACGCCCACTTGCGTCACAGATTGGAGGCAAGTGGTCAGCCTCTCGGACTCCACCCCTCTGCCGCCCCCCCCAACCCCCGTGCGCTTGGGGACCTCTCCTGAGCCGGTACCTTACTTAGCAAAGCGCGGGGAGGAGAAGGGGCCGGTCCCCCCCCACACACACACTGCAGCACTGAGACACGAGTCTCCTACCCTACCCCGAACCCTGGGGCAGGGGCAAGGGGCCCATTCCTTGTATCTGACTGGACTCTCCTGCCCCGCAGAGGCCTCCAAAGCCTCCAGTCCCCTCACCCAGCCCCCTCCCTGGTCCCACTAGTCTGGTTTGGAGGGAGGAGTGTCTCCTTTCTTTTCCCTACAACCTTGTCTTTCCTGCCCTCTGTCCTCAGTTTTAAGCCCTTCCCTACTTGTCTGCGTTTTTTTCTGTCCCATGGTCGTCTCTTTTCACTCTGCCCTCCCTTGTTTCTTTAGTTTGTTTGTTTATTTTTGTTCAGTGTCCATGTCTCTCCTGAGTCCCTGTCTTCACCATCTTCAGGGAAGGTCCCAGTGAAGGACCAGACTCTTTCCTCTTCCTTCCTAGTCCCCACAATGAATCCCCACAAAAATAAAAACCTAATTCCCCTGCCGGAAACGGGACCCTCTGCAGCACAGAACTAAACTTTTTTCTGTGTCTGAGGTGGCTATTCATATTCATTCAATCAAAATTATACTTTCTAAAGAGTTTTAGTCACAACAGAACAGCAAAATATTTTTTCTCTCTCCTGAAATAATTTTTATTTAAATGTTGAATTTTTTTTCAAAAAGTAATACTCCAACATGCCAGTGCTATCTATAGTTATTTGGTGAGATCCAGTTAATGGTGAAATAAACTTTGTAGAAATTACAGTATTTTGGGTTGTGAGACTAGCTTTTAATGGCTGAGCCATCTCTCCAGCCACTTCAGGATGGAGGTAGAAACCTAGTGCAATGGAAACTCCCAGGAATCTATGAAGATGACCCCAACTTAGACTCCTAGCAATGGGGGATATGAATCCTGAACTGGCTACCTTCTGTAACTACACAAATTTGCAAGTATAGGTATTGGGACACTAACCCACCCACCAATCCTTTGACCTCCATTTTTTTACTGCTGTCAAGAAGTGCTGGCTTAAAGGTAACACAGAAGTTGTGGGAGTGGCTAAGTAATGACTAGTCCAACTTGAGGGAACCAGGAAGGGTCCAGGAAAGGGAACCCATGTCTGACACTACCTGGAAGGCCAGGAGGGCCAGGAGCCACAGAGGCTGGATAATCTAGAGACCTATGATAGGAGTGAACACAACTGGCAATCAATCAATCAGTGAAATGATTCCTAATGATACTTAGCTATACTCTTATACCAGAG